GCTGGGGGATTGAACAGCAGTCCCTGTGCTTTGCTAAGCTTGTTCTAAGTAGGTGCTTTAGACCACTGAGCCATCTCACCAGCCCCCTCCTCTGACTTTTTAAACAGAGCAAAGCAACCTCATTTCATGACTGGCTCCCAAATTTAAAACTAACAATAAAAAGCCTGAAAAGTGTAAGTGGGCCTAAAGAAAAATGGCAGAGAAAAAGCATATGGCTTTTTTTCTTATTTTGCAGTGTAGGCAGTAAAACCCAGGGCCTCACACATGCCAGGTAAGCACTCTACCAGTGTACTACTACACACTTCCAGGACAAAAGGTTTGTTTTTGTTTTGACTCATTTTGTTGAGTTAGGGTCTCAGCATGTAGCTCAGGCTGCTTTCAAATTTATGATGTTCCCTCCTATTTCAGCCTCCTGATGGCTGGGATTACAAGGGTGTACCCTCATGCTCCCTCTAAGGAGTATGATTTTTAATACACTATGCAAGCATCAACATTTTTAGGGCCACCCAGAAGCCTGTGCCCATCTCTTACCCTCCATCATTGTCCAAGTGACCCATACCCACTGTGAATGTATCAAATACTGTGAAAATAAAATATAAACACTGTCTTTCTAAACAAGTTTCTGATGCTACTAAGACAGGATATTCTCCAAGCTTCTATAGCACTAGAAGTACAATGTCCAGAATAAAGAAATCAAAACACCAACAGAAAAGGAAAGTGCACTACTGGTATCCTCCTGAAACAGAAACTGAACAGCTCATTCTAAGCCACATTTCACAGCAATTTCAAAGGGTATTATCCCTCATTCATTCAACTATTTAGTAAGTGCCTACTATTGGTCTAGACACATTTCAAGTGTTAGGATACTGCAGCAAATAAATCATTATGATAACCATGATGGTCAAATAGATCGTTAAAATTAGTACTATTTTTAGTCAAAAAAGAAAGAAAAAATATTTTTTCCTTTCTGTTTTATTTCCTAATAAAAACGAGGGGAGAGAAGTCTGCACTTCCTCCTCCCATTCCTCTTCTAGCCTGTCCAACCCACAGCAGTCTGGGGTGATTTAACAATAGTAACATTTCTAGTGAATGTGTGAAAGAGAAACACTTTGTACTGTGGGCAGAACTGCAGTGACAGCCAGTAAAGTGGACTTAACCCCAGGCATGTAGTTGAAATGGGCCCTGGACATGCTGCTTCCACATGCAGACCTTTTCATCTAGCTTCCTCTTGGCTTGGCTTCCCTTCCCTTCCCTTTCCTTCCCCTGTATCACCCATTTTTGCAGATTTTTTCATCCAATAACGTAAAGCTCTGGTGTACAAGTTCCTCCCTCCTTTTTTCCCAAATCTTTTTCCCTCTCAAAGGAAAAAAAATGTAGACGTCCTCCCCCCAAAAATAAAATCAGCATTTTTCCATTTAGAAATATGCTGTTACTCCAAACTTCTCCCTCATGCTGAAGAAGTATGGCCACCACTCCTCTCTTCAGCTCAGGTGGATAGATGCTGGTCCCAAAAGGCTGGGATCCAGTTTTGTTTCCACAGGGGAAAAAAGCAGCCAAGAACTAGAGGGGGAAGAGGAGTACAACACCATGGTAATCTCTTTATCATCTCATTGTATTTCTCCCATTTTTTACTCAAAAGCCCTTCTACACTTCAAGTTTATGATTTGAGGCTAAAAGAGGCCCCTCCATCCCCTTCAGAACTAACTCTGAATAAACACTGTCTTTTCCAAAAATTGTCTCCTATCTTCTTGGGAAGGGTGACCAGTAGTACCTCACCAAATGTCTTTTTATAAATTGTGAAGTTCTTGCCCATTCTTTTTTAATCCTTACAGAGATTAACAGGTTTCATTTTGGCAGATTTATACATGTACATGACATTTAGTTTCTATTCACATTCACATTCTACGGTTATATTTCTTAATAGAATGCAATTCTATTTCTTTATTTTAAAGTTCTGTTCAATGCTGGGCACTGCAGTGCACACTAGCAATCCCAGCACTCCAGAGGTGAGAGTCCACACTAAGCTACACAGCAAGATTAAGGTCATCCCTGGACTACATAGAGTTCTTTTCTCAAAAGAACAAAACAAAATAAAACCAAAAAAAACCTTATTCCAAATACTCTTCATAGTTAAGATCCTATTTTCTTCTGGTCTCCCTTTTGATTAACTATTATTAAATCTGAATACTAAACAGTTATTGTCAAATACACTAACCTGCAACTATTCTGAACAGTATTTTCCCATTGTAATAGTCAAAAACAGTTCTATCGATTTTATCCTGAGTTGCAATATAGAAAGGAAAACGAGTAAGTCTTTTCCTTTTTTTTTTTTTTTAATGTATTTGGTCTACAGGGTCTCACTACTACACAGATCGAACTCATAGTGATTCTCCTGTTTTCAGCCTCAGAAGGCCTGGGGTTACAGGAGCGCACCACCACGCCCAATCACCCCGGGGGCTGCGCTCTGCCCAAGCAAGTGCTAAAGTTCGCTGAGCTATCTGGCTGGCCCTGCAAATGAGAAAGATGAAAAGCCACATTATTTGCTAACGCACACTGCTTCTTCATGGAACTTGTCCGGGTCTTCTAGAAATTTGTATTGTTACCACTTGTTAAGCTTATAAATAACAAGCACAAAAAACAGCCCAGGGAGGCACAGATGAGGCATGATTACAAAGAAAAAATGTTTAAGATCAAAAGTCAGAATTCAAATCAGACTCCGTGAAATCACTAAATTCTTTAGATAACTGACCAAGTTTAATATCACATAATTGGTAAACAGCCTGCTTGAGAATTTAATAAAACCACGGAAGTAACCTGAGAACTCCCTGAAAGAGTTTCATTTACCTTTCGTAAATAGTCACAACAAATAACTATGAAAACACCTAAGTAACAGTTCTCGAAAACCCATGCAATTGGACACGGGTAAATAGTTGGCTTCAATCCCTTTCTCTCCACAAGCGTCCTTTGGCCTGGCTTTGGCTATGACATACAGTACTTCTGTAGGCAGAAGCTAACAAAATACAAGTGACAAAATACACGTCATCTACTTATACTATATACATTTTGTCGAACTTCACTGTTGGGTAAAGAAACAGCCATGGGAAATGCTTTCTTTTTATGGAGAAGCAAAACGACCAACACCACAAAGCAAAAGCGGTCCGAGTATCAGTTTGAAGCACCTTAAAACTGGGGAATTCAGTACCGAAAATTAGAGAAATGACGGCATCCAGACAGACCCTGTCCGCGCCCAGCCCCACTCCCAGTTCGTCGTTTTCCCTTCCTTCCAGGAACCGGAGTCCTCACCAGATGTTGGCAGTGTCGGTGGATAACGTCCTGTACTAAGCATCGAGCCGGGGCCCAGTGTACCGCCTTGCACCCGGAGCCGGGACCACGCACACAAACCAGCACCCCCGCCTCCGCCATTTTACTCCGGAACCTAGACAGTGTCACAGCGCCAAGACCTAGTCGCTCCGAGATGACGACACAGCTCGCCTAGCGGCGCCCCGCCCTACCCACCTCCGCGGCCCCGCCCTGGTCCTGGTCCGTCACGTGACCCGACCGCTGTAAGGTGGGGGAGGGGACGAGAAGGACCTGGAGGATGCCGATAAGGCGGCTGAGTGCCCGGGCCGCGGGTTGCTAGGGGCAGTTGCTAGGGTGGGGCTCGAGGGACTGACGATAAGGGGCTGGCGCGAAGCTTTTCCAGCGTTCTAGCTGGGAGGGAAGCACCTCCTTGGGCTTGGCTCTCTTCCCCACTTGCGTTTAGTTATTTTTGGGTCGTGGAGCTTTGTAGCTCGAAAAGCTCCCAGGAGCCGGGGGAGGAGAGAAGCTGTATTTCACACGCAAGCACGCTGGGGACTGGGCGGGAGGGGGCGGGGGGCGGGGAGAGAGGCGCGCGCACCCTCGGGGGACAGGGCGGGACAGGATGGGGCGGGCGCCAGGCCCGGCCGCGGCCGCCAGCTTTTCCTCTGTGTTTGTAGGTTGTGCTTGCTCTCCGAAACAGTCAAGCCCTAGTTTATGCCGGCCAGGCTCCGTGTATCCTATTTCTGCCCGACTGTGAGCCACGTTATTTCCTCCGCGTGCTGCTGTGGCAGTCTTTTGCGCCGCTTTGGGCCCCGGATGAAGCAGCTGGCGCGAGCGGCGCCGAGTTCGTCTGCTCCGCCCTGGGAGCCTGGAGGCCTGGAGACCGTGAACGCGCCGAGGGAGATCGCGGCTTTTCCAGACCCCTACACAATTTGAAAGAGGCTAAGAGCCGGGGTTCGATCCCGGTGCCAAAAAAAAGGCTTGTGATGTGGGAAAGATGTCAGGCATTTTCTGTATATTTTAATCCCAAGTGATCTGTGTTCTTCATTTATCTTGTAGCAGTGTGAGCAAAAATAGAATCCCAAGGCCTGTTAATATTGTTGTGTTTATTCCGCACAGAAGGGAGGGAACGTAAGAGACAAAAGGACTCCATGGTAATTCCAGGCGATAGAGAACAAACTTATGTTGTGAGGTAGTATTTTACAAAAAAGGGGCCCTGGTGACTCTTGGTGTCTCACCAAGCATATGTAAAGCAGTCCAAATTCAGGAACCTGTGAGTCCTGTTTATCTCCCCAGCTCTCCATCCGCAGAGATCCTTCACAGGTAATCTAGAGCCCTAAGCCTTAATTCTTTCCTTATTTGTGATTTCTACGTTCTGGGAGCCTCAGAACCACAGTGGAGAGTGATCCCAACTACTCAGGAGTCTGAGCCAAGAGGATCCCAAATTTACACCCAACATGCGCCACATGATAGTTAAAAAATGTTAAGGGCTGGATGTGTAGCTCAATGCAAGGCCCTAGATTCAATCCCCAATAACCAAAAAAAGTAAACTTTTAAAAACATCCAAAAATGGTTATATTGAAAATCTGGGGTCTACCTCCCATGAAAGTAACAAGATAAAGGTCAGTTTATGTTTACATAATGTTTTTGTCAGAATAATGCATTTATTTGATAAGGCTTAGTTAAGCCCTCCTTATAAGTTCCTTATCATTCCTAACATAACCAGCCCTCTACAAATCTAGTCTCAATGGAATTATTCACTTTTTATCCATTACATTTAAATTCCTGCTTAAAAAGTCCCAAGTATTGAATAAGAATTCTCATTTAAAATGTGAAATAAAAGAATTAAGTCAATAAAATTATGGAAAAAAAAATAAAAATAAATGTTAAAAAGAGAATTAAGATACGAACATGTAGAAATATGTAACAATTATTATTAACCTTTCACAGAAATTTCCTGAGCAATAAATAAGCCATTGTTAGACCTGTACAACCTGACACAGAATGGAAGAAAGAATTGGCTGGATCTCTGCTGAGTTACTAAGGTAATAATTCTATTCCCAGTATACACTTGAAGAAACATTTTATACTGACATAAAACATTGTTCTAAGGATGCAGAATTCAACTAAGATTGCTCACTATTAAATTAATTTAAATAATAGGAGAAATTGTACCTGAAATTAAGACTACAGCCAAGAACATGGTGCATATTAGTGGATAAATATAGAGGAAGAGCTATGTGAGCAGACTAGTCAGTAATTGAAAAAGAGCCACTACTGCCATCTTCCCTATTGTATGTGAAGAGGGGAAGGTCCAGGAAAGCACAAGGGTGGAGCCAGTTTCTCTGTTGACAAAACAGTGCAGTCTCACTCTTAGGTCTGTGGTTGGTGATCTTTCTGGCAAACCACATTGGCTTTATTCCTGCTTGTGTCCCAAAAAGAATGACTCCAACTGTACATTTGCTTTTTGAAGACTGGCTCAGCCTATGAAGACAGTAGGAGAGCATCCTGAGGCAACATGGAATATTTGTTCCCTGCCAATTAGAAATGACAGCACCAGAGAGTCAATGCCTGTGTGGCAAGAGCCCACTTGACAGGGCTCTGTTGTGCTGGCCTGGAAGAACAGGAAGCAGAGCTGTACACTGGCAATGCCCAGAAACAATAGCCAGGCTCTAAACTAGACAGCCTATGGACTGCACATACGTGACGTGGAAGTTGCCCTTCTGCACTTTGGTGCCTAGAGAAAGGAGAGGAAAATGCTCATATTCTCCATGAAAAAGCAGTGCTTTCTGTGCCACAACATAAAACTGCCACAATTATCCAGATTGGCAAGAAACAAGGAGGTCAGCTCCTAGAACAGAAAAACAGCTTCTAAGTAAGAAATGTATGGTCCAGATGGGATGGATGGGAGGAGGAGCCTGGAGCAAGCCCTGAGGTGTTGGGGGGGGTGTCAAACCCCGCCTCCTCCTCTTATTGGATGGAAGAAAAGATGGGTCAGGGCTGAGCGAAGGGTAGGGGATGCTGGTGTCCAAGTGCCCCTGCTGGGAAGGAGCAGAGCCAACAGACAACGAGAGTAGAGGTGCCAGCTGGAGAGAGGAAGCTGGACTCAAAGCCACTGCAGACTGCAGAAGCCTGCCTCTTTGTACTCTAATGTCATGGAGATGAAAGGCACTTCCTGCTGGTGACTTCCAGGGATAATTCTGCCACTCACTACCCTGCCCATCACCTGGTCTGTGTTAGCGAGATAGCACAACTTCACAACATCCCTCAATTATCATGCTCAACATCACCGTCAGAATGTTTGTTGCATTAAAATACTAACTTCTAGGAGCTAGAGATGTAGTTCAGTGGTAGATTCACCTAGCATGTGAAAGGCCCTGGAGTCTATCCCCAGCACTTAAAAAAAAAAAAAAAAAAAGCTTTGGTATTTATTGTACTAGAGTTATAAAGAGAAGCTACCAGTGTTTTCCAGAAATTTCATGTTAGCACTGTAATTTGTTTTGATACAGTTTCCCACTATGTAGTTCCAGCTTGAACTCATTCTGTAGCCCCAGCTGGCCTCAAACTCACTGCAATTATCTTGTCTCAGCCTCCTTAGTACTGAGATTAGAGGTGTATTCCAAATATGGAATTTGATTTCACTATAGTCAGTAAAAATCCTGGATCCTGTATGAATTGTGCATAATCAAGCCTTTCAAGAGGGGTTCTTCTAGTGCTCGACTGTAATTCTAGTGCTTGAGAAGATGAAGCAGGAGGATCTCAAGTTTGAACCCAACATGAACTGTACAATGAGACTTGTCTCAAAAACACAAAAACGGAGGAGTTTCTTCCTAGTCTTTAGGTATATTTTTAACTAGTTAATTCTTTAATTGATGTATTTCTACAGTACTAGGGTTCTCTAGAGAAAAAAGAACAGGAGGATGGATGGATGAATAGATAGATAGATAGATAGATAGATAGATAGATAGATAGATAGATAGATAGATAGATAAAGTACTCACCCTACTTCAGGTGCTAAAAAGTCACTGAACAGTCTTCCTGTTTCACCCTCCCAAAATGCTGGGATTATAACACATATGCTGCTATTATAAGATGCAGCAAATTACATAAAGTCTCCAGATGAATTAAAATGAAATCAGAGCAGAGTAACTGGGGAGATGAGAAGAGTTAAATGAAGTTGACATCAGAAGGCTGAAGACCAAGAAAGAGCTGATGTTTCAGTTCCAGTCTTCAAGTCCAAAGCTGATTGTAAGTGTATATTTATCCTGTGAATACAGTGAAAACCTCTGGATATTGATAGAAGGAGAAGGATGATGTAATGCGAATTATGTGCTGCTTTTTGTTTTTGTTTTTGGGTACTGAAGATTGAACCCAGGAGGCTTGAGTATGCTAAATAAACTTCAAGTGCTGAGCTTCGCTCCCAGTATTTATTTACTTTAATGTATTTATTTTTGTGTATGAAAACAAAAAATACTAGAGATTAAAACCAGGGCCTTCTCACTGAGTTATATCCCCAGTCGTTTTGTTTTGTTTTTTTGGTTTTATCAGGGATTAAATTTAGGACCCTGTGCTTGCCAAGCAAACATTTATTCCACTGAGCTATCTCCTCTGATGTTTTGTTTTGAGATAAGGTCTTACTAAATTTTCTAGGCTGGGGCTCAAATTTGCAGTTCTCCTGTTTCAGCCTCCCAAAGTGCTAGGATTATAACACCTGTGCTGCTATTATGAGATGCAACAAATTACATAAAGTCTCCAGATGAATTTAAATGAAATCAGAGCATTGTTTTTCATAATATGTTCTATGAAACAAGTCACTATAGTACACTATAAAATAATTCTGTTTTCAGATGCATTTGGAAGGAGTCCTATCTTGGGCTGCTATAACAAAACAGCATACATACACCAAGCAGTTTACATAGAAAACCTTTCTTTCAGTTCCAGAGGCTGGGATATCCTGTGATCTAGGTATGAGAGATTCAGTTCTTGGTTGTGGACTCTTCTGGCTTCAGATGGCCAGTTTTGGTGTTTTTTGCTTTTTTTTTTTTTTTTTTTTTTAATCTTTATTTTTTTTTTTTTTCTTGTTGTGCTTTTTGGGGGAAGGGGAGTTAAAGTAAGGAAGAAGAGATTATTTATTTATTATTTTTATTTTTGGAGACACAGCCCCACTAAATAGTTTGGGTTGGCTTTGAACTCACTATGTAGCCCAGAATGGGCTCAAACCATAGGTTATCTTTCTGCCTAAGCCTCCCAGGCCCTGGGATTATAGGTTTGTGCCACCATGCCTGGCTATTCTCTTCTTATAAGGGTACCAATCCTGTCATGAGGGCCCTACCCTTGTACCTCTTCTAACCCTACGTACTTCCCAAAGTCCCAATTCTGCTAACACTGCCCCACTGGGAGTAAAAGTTTCCATATCAAATTCTGGGTGGATGTGTTCAGTCTGTGACAACTTCCATACCATATGCTTCTTTTTACAGATTCACTAAGTTTACTAACAAAAACCTTGAAAAATTATTTTATTTTTGCCTAATCTAATGTTTCACTAAATTATCTGACCATGGAGTATCGAGCTATACTGAATAGCATGCTTTAGGATTAATATTTAGAAAAAGACGTCTGAGATTGAGATTTAGAAGTATATGTTAATTATGAAGTTTCTTAAATAACAAAAAACAGACGCTTGTGGGAGACCAGATAGGAAGATTAAGGCTTAACTGGCCTCTGAACACTAGAGAGCAAGGTAGCATGCGTGCCTGCTGACATGCTGCAGGGAAAATGAATACAGCTGAGACCCTGATGTTTGCTTGGTTATGTACTGTGGCTGGTGGGAGACAGATGAACCCTGTTTTACTGACTTGTGCCAGTGTCTAAGTGACTAAAGCCCAGTACACCAGTCACTTAGGGTTCTTTGTTGAAGGAAGGTAGAAGCCCTGACCCCTACATTTTCACCTATTCTGTGTCTCTGTGTTTCACCTTTGAAATGCAAGCTCAGGTTTTCTCCCTACAGACTCCAAGTACACAGGCAATGCATCTGAGTCCTTGAGGTATTACAAATCCCAGTCTCTTCAGTTCCTAAAACCACTGCATTAGCCTGGATGGACCCTGAACAGTCCCCAAAGGCTCCCGTGTCCCCAGGAGAAGCTATGGGAGTACAGGCACTTTGGGAAATAGGGCTCATGGTAGACCAAGGTCCTTGTACACTGCTCTCCATAGGACAGTCCCTTCCTCCTTTTTGCTTCCTGACCAAGAAGCAAGTGCTTTGCTGTTGTGCACTGTTCCCTTTATCACCATCTTGTATGCCCAAGGCCTCTAGAAAGTGACCCAAAACCTTTTCTCTTTAAAATCTGATTTCCGGGCTGGTGAGATGGCTCAGTGGTCTAATACACCTATTTAGAACAAGCTAAGCTAAGCAAAACACAGGGACCACGGTTCAATCCCCCAGCACCACATGCCAGCTAGCCCCGCCC